ACCATTTGTAGCTGCCATTTGAACGAAAATATCATTACCGAAATATCGGCGAAATTATCGAGGACATTATCAATAAATTGACGAAACCTATATGGAAATGTACTAAATTATCGCTGCCCCAAAATAACGATAATTTCGCCGAAGTATCGGTGAAATTATCAATATTTTATTCATTGATGATAGTGAAAACCAATGACCACAACATCTTATTTTATTTTTTTACCCAACGGAAAAAGGTCAATTATCAAACATTGTTAAACCAACCCTTGTATCAAATACTTACAATCTCAAATTATCTTCTTTGCATACTGTGGCTTATTTTAATTGCTTATTAAAAAGGTTAACTAATCAGACAAAGAGCTGTGTGGTAGGGTTCGAATCTCAGACCCCTGACATGCAATCTGGTAATGGGATGTAGAGAAGTTTGTATTTTTCTAAAACTTAATATGAAGAGTGGTGAGGTGTGTGCATAGATATACTAGGGTTAAGTATTAAGTTGGATGACCTTTTTGGTCTTTTTACACAATAATGAAACTTACAGCTTAATGATTCAAGTATTGTGGTGAACAAATAGAAGTGCGAGGTTTAAATAGAAAATCTCTTTTTTAATATCTTTAAGAGCATCTCCACCCATGTAGGCTAAGGCAAGGCTAAGGCAAGGCAAGGGCTGGTACTATTCATGTGAATAGTGCCAGCCTTGCCTTAGTTGGTTCCACCCTTGGAAGGCTTGCCCGGGCAAATACGATTCATTGTACTTTATTTTCTATTTTTTTATACTTACCATTAATTTTGATAAGCTTTTAAGATAATATTTTCGGTTGCCACGTGTCACTATTTATTATAAAATTATCACCTCAAATTTCAGATAATATTTTCGGATAAAATTTTCGGATAAGATATTTGGTTGCCACATGTCCATGTCAGATAAGATTTTCATATTTTTTAAAAAAATTATAATCTCAGATTTCAGATAAGATTTTCACCCTCTAAAATTGCGCCACGTGTCCCATGTCAGATAAGATTTTCATATTTTAAAAAAAAATTATAATCTCAGATTTCAGATAAGATTTTCACCCTCTAAAATTGCACCACGTGTCCCATGTCAGATAAGATTTTCATATTTTAAAAAAAAATTATAATCTCAGATTTCAGATAAGATTTTCACCCTCTAAAATTGCGCCACGTGTCCCATGTCAGATAAGATTTTCATATTTTAAAAAAAAATTATAATCTCAGATTTCAGATAAGATTTTCACCCTCTAAAATTGCGCCACGTGTCCCATGTCAGATAAGATTTTCATATTTTAAAAAAAAATTATAATCTCAGATTTCAGATAAGATTTTCACCCTCTAAAATTGCGCCACGTGTCCCATGTCAGATAAGATTTTCATATTTTAAAAAAAAATTATAATCTCAGATTTCAGATAAGATTTTCACCCTCTAAAATTGCGCCACGTGTCCCATGTCAGATAAGATTTTCATATTTTAAAAAAAAATTATAATCTCAGATTTCAGATAAGATTTTCACCCTCTAAAATTGCACCACGTGTCATCTCTATCTTCTCAATCCCTCTATAAAACTACACCATCAACTCATACATCTCACACCACATCTTATCTATTCCTTCAATTCTCAGATTTTACAAAACATATTTTACTCTCAATGTCAAACTTGAGGAGGGTGTTGGAGATGCAAGAGAGAGAAGAGGAAGAAATCCGGAGGAGACGTGCTGAGGAAGATCGGGAGGCCGATGAAGAAGAGGAGGAAATGCTTGTAGGCTTTGCTATGCTTAATGAATCAAGGCAACACCACCGTCGTCGTGCCCAGAATGTGGATAGACGTAGGCAGTCTCGTGGTAAGAATCTCATG